CAGGCCTTCATTGGTGTTTGCGTCGGAATGAATACATTCACCTGCAATCAACTTTTTTTTTCCCAGTTTTTTTTTTTCCCCAAATACAAAAGGAGGTGGAAAAAATTAAAACAAAAGATAGGGGGATGTGCTATATGCAACCGCGGGAGTAGAAGAAAGGGGTAGAACTGGCAAGAAATGACTGTACTGTCAGTGTGAAGGGGAAGGGCCTGTTTCCGACTCGGTGCACGCTAGGTTAGTGAGACAGCCAATTTAATCCTGCTGCAAGGGGATGAGGGTCTGTCGATTTGTTTTGCAATTCACATGGTTACACACTCTACAGTCTTCCCCCGATTACAACGTTCGGTCATTATAGCTGAATTTGGTGCACCTTTCGGTCTAAATTCAGCTATAATGACCGTACGTTGTATTCGGGGGAAGACTGTAGTGTCTGCTCAGATTGTTTGTGGCAGTTTGTATAAGCAACCACAGTCAATTTGTTTTCCGCAAGCACTCTTTACAATTTCGGCGACACTTAGCGAAACAATGGCAAAATTGTTGGATTGCAGCCCCTTAGCGAAACAATTATCCGACATTGTGTTTGAGCAGAAATGCAAATTTCGCCATTTCTTTGACAGAATAGGCCATTGGCATGTGCACATTTTCAACCCTGTTGATGCTACTCCTCTTCTTTCCTTGCTCTGCCGTTCAGACAGTTGTGGCCCTCTAGGATCTTCATGTCTTTGCAGTTTGATCACTTTCCTTCCTTGTTTTCTGCTATAGATCATCGGAAGGAATCTTGACCCTGGTTTACGTAAAGAACACCATATTTTTGAATAACCATTTGCCAAAAAAAAAAAAAAAAAAACATTTGCCAGTGTGGTGTGGCCACCTGGAGGTACGCGTTGGGTATATGAATGACATCATGTTCTTAGCTTTTGCTCCACCGTATGCGCGGGTCACCTGGAGGTACGCATTGGGGATGAACGACATCACGTTCTTAGCTTTTGCTCCGCAGTGATTAGATGTGTGTTACCTACCAACGGGACCATGCGGGTCACACCTTGCTTACCCTGCCCCTCGCGGGCAAGGGCCAGCGAAAGATCCTGTGCAAAAGGAATAACGTCCAGAAAATCCGAAGGAAAGAGTATGTGGCGCACAGAAATAAAGTCGCCCACTTTTCTCCTTTACAAAAAAAAGTGCACACTGCTCAAGGCGCAGATGATCAGATCGAAACATATGTCTTCCTCCTTAGGGCCTGAAGAGACTAAGGCTCTACTACCGTGGAGATGGTATGGTTCGCTGGTGGAGACAGCTTCCCTCTGCAACATGAATTCAGCACAAGGGAAAGGCATTGATAGCTGTGCCCTGGCAGGGAAAAACTAACCCCGCTCCATGCAAAAGTCAATTGCGGCCCTTCTTAAGCCGCAAGCACACGGCCCCAGCCTTGCAGAAAGTTTTTTGTCGCCACAAGCAAAACTCGGCGGGCCTGCACGGCGAGGGACACCGTTGAAAAAAAAGATGGGCGGCCTCTGAAGTGCTGCGGTTTTGTGCTGACACCAGCAGGCCGATGTGTGGTGTACTGGTGCTTTAGGTCATGCACCCTGCAGCACCGAGAAATGGGGGGAAATTATAGCACAAAACAGAAAGTCAAATACAATCAAAATCACAGTCAAATCACAGGATAAGTGTCACACTAAACCGGCACAAACAGCTGAAAACTTTCAGGCAGGTACATTACTTCTTTTGCACTCGTTACCTGCCGTCCAGCATATACTGTCTTCCGGTATATATATGCTATCCCTGTTTGTTGAGCACAGGGTCTAACATTTAACTTAATAACTTAAGATCTCTATATAGAATCTATAGATTAATGAGCATGTTTCGAACAGAGTTTTCTTGCCTTCATGCCGTGTTCCCCCCCCTCCACACAGGAACACCTCCATGACATCTTTCCACACACACACACACACACACACACACACACACACACACACACACACACACACACATGCACAGACACATGCACAGACGAGAGTATCAGTGTGGCTGAACGAGACATTGAAAAACACACTGAAGAAAGAAAAAGTAAGTTCGACATTTGCATTTTCTGTTTGGATGTGCCTATCTCCCCTCTATGGAATACCGGCAAACCCAAAGTTACCTTTTACACACCACCGACGTGTTTATATGACATGACACATATATAGACTAACGAGCCGTCCCATCTGGGATGAAGAGTGGTGAGGACGGGCTGCCTCCAGAGTATGGGATCGTTGCCTGACCGTCGCAACGCTCAAATCTTCAACCCATCCACATACCGCATGATATATGTGCGCATACCTAACTGTCCTCCGCAATTCTCCATCTCATCGAGCACAGGTACCAGCAGATGTACATGTCAATACCTAACAGTGATATATCGTGACATTTGGTTCTGCCACACGCAGTGCTTTTGCATTGATTTTCATTTGTTTGCCAGCCCCACCAAACATGTGCTGGAATCGTTGTGACACTGGCTTCTCTTCCTGCGACTAGTATCTATCAAAATCAGATTTCAAATTCAGCTTTCAAATTCAGATATGGAAACTCACGTCGTCGTTCAAGACGTCTTGTTACATCTTCCCTCGGTTTAATTTTGCTACAGCGTATATAGAGTATTATAGATAGATTGGCAGATTGGTAGATAGGTAGATAGGTAGATCGGTGGGTAGGTAGATAGGTAGATAGGTAGATAGTTGTTGTTGTTGTTTTTTTGATGTTGTTGTTTTTTTGATGTTGTTGTTGTTTTTTGTAAGCTGGAGCCCCTTCGCCAAAATGTCCTTCCTTTTTCTTTTTTTTTTTTAAACAAAGGCTCCTTCTATTCTGGGGAGCGTCAGTCCAGTTCCTGTTCCACCGGCAAGTCGGAATTATACACAACAATTAAGACACACTCACACTTCCTTCCGTCTCTGTCTTTCTGAATTGATGAAAATGGAAAACTAAGATAACAGATTCTGGAAGACGGGGACTTTTCTCGTGCGACTTCTTGGGGGCTGGAAGTAACAAGCGCACCTTCACCAAAACTGCCCTGGGAAAAAAAGTTAAAAAACACTGCCGAGATGCAACAAAATCAGGCCAAACTCGGTTGAAGAAGTAATGGCATTATCTTCAGATCTGCATTTACCAACCCACCACCCAGGTCACCTTGTTCGTCTGGACGGGGCCCAGCAAGGGCCAGGAAAGGTCCCTGTTATACGAAAAAAAAAAAAAGAACATTCTCCAACTGACAAGAGAGAATGGCCAGATAAGGTCCCTGTAAAAAAAATAAAAAATAAAAAAAATCCTACTGAAGACAGGCAGCCGGGGCCGGTGGGGGGGGCTGTCTCTTATACACATCTAGATGTGTATAAGAGACAG